AAATATTTCAAAAAAGATTTTGAAATATTTTGCATATTATTTCCATCCATCAAAAGATTTTGCATAATATATGTAAATGATATACTAATCTTCTCTGATAATGAAAAAGAACATTTACATCATCTTAAGAAATTTGCATACTTGTGCAAGAAACATGGAATATTAATTTCTGAAAATAAAGAACAAATAAGAAAAACTAAAATTAAATTCCTTGGGTTACCAATAGATTCTATGGGATAAAATTACAAGCTCACATTAGTGAGTAGATTTCATTATTTCCTAATAAACTAGAATCTAGGGAGCAAATTCAAAGGTTTTTAGGAATACTTAACTATGTAGAGTGGTTTATTCAAAATCTAGCTCAACTAACACATCCTTTGCAAAAATTGGTCAAGAAGAAAGAATCAAAGGCCAAGAAATAATTGATGAAGGTCATAGCGTTATGGATGAAGGCCAAGAAAAAATTATTAAAGGCCATGAGTTATTGAATAAGGGACAAGATGCCCTTGAAGAAGTCAAAGAGCTTATATAAAAATTAATGAATTAGGGAGTCATTATTACTGTTGAAATCAACTCCAAAGAATCTAGCCAAATGGCAAATAAAAGCTCCCAACAAAAGCTAAAAGAAAATTTTGAACAAAGTGATCCTTCAGTAAGGTTACTTGGAGAAAACTCAAGAAAGTTTGACTATTATGTCAAACACTCTCCCCTAGAATTATTAGTATCTCTAGTTGAAGAGCTAGCTATTCAAAATGTTGAAAACCTTAACTTTGACCTAGTTACTTAGGAAAGAAAGAGAAGAAAGTTACAATATTAAACACCTTGTCAAAAATGACAATGAGAGAAGAATATCTATAGGAACACCACACAATCATAAAATGGCATATTCAATGAGGTCTACCAAGAATTGCCATCCTATCCATGAAAGGATTTATCCTAGAATTAATTCTATGCAAGGTGCAAACCCGAAAGCAAAAAAAGAATTATTTTATTATGATTTTGTAAACTGTATCTATCTTTCAAAAAATAATGAGGAGGTTTTAGAACTTCTAGAAGTTATACAACAAGGAGTAAAAGACTTTAAAACTGGCACCAAAGCTCAAGGACTAGTATTTGTCAAAATCTACTTTACAGCACCAGAATGGGAAAAGTCTCAATATTTTCCTAGTCACCATATAGTTTTGATAGGAATTTAGTCCAAGAAGATCAAGATAGAAGTGAATGAAAATCAAAATTTTCAAGAATTTGAAGAATCTCTTTGTGTAATAAAGTTCATACAAGAAAGAAAAGCTCTAGAATTCAAGGTTTTACTCCAGACCTTTGATAGAATGATAAACATGAAGAAGGCATGGACTTATGGCTTCACCAATGAAATTTCAGTGGCATCCATAAGAGCAACATTAATGACAAGCATCAGCCTATTCAAAATAAAGCATAAAAGAAAAGAAATTTTTGAAAATCTGATCCCAACCAATAAAGCAATCCATAATAAACTATGCAAGTTGTTAAAGCACGACAATCATTGTGGTTTTTGCTAAATAAAAGAATATGCAAAAGGAAAAGCTGAAGTAATATGTGACAACAGGACCACTCCCTTAAACAGTGAAAAGGATCTCCTCATTCTCTAAAGAATCCAAGACAAAAAGACATAAGCTCTTACTTCCTTAAATAAAAAGAATGGGGTTAGCAATGATGTATCCAGATTCTATGTAATCTACTTTATTAAAAAGTAAGAAAGTAACTTTGGACAATTAGACATAATGTAGACTTTAGATGTTAGCAATGAGGAACAAAATGATTTTAAGGAGTGCTATAAAAGGCCTACTATAAGCTGTAAAAAGGCCTACTACAAGTTGTAATAGGTATTGGACATTTGAACATCTAAATACCTTACTTAATAGTCTTTCACCATGCATCTGTAAACACTCTTTAAGAGGGAAGAGAACTTTCCCTTTCTCTTCTCGAAAATAAAAACATATTTTAGAATAATTCTTGTGTTTCGCTCCTTCCTTATTTCCATCATAAAAACAATGAGAAAAATTCTTGAAGAAACTTAGGCAATGGTGAAGTCCCTTATCCTGTTTGGATACTCATTATAGCTTGAGTAAGGCATTGAGAGTTGGACGAAAGAAGCATCAGCTTGACTCAAAGCTAGACTAAAGGATTTTTAGGTAAAATTCTAACTCATTTATTTTATCATGTGGAAGTAAGGTGGGCATATAAATAGTTTTAGTATTCTTTAACATTAGATTATTTTTGAGATTAGAAACAATGGAGAAATAATACCTGACCTCTTATATTTTGAATAGAAAAGCCTATTTTAAGATCAATTTATTATATTTTAAGATACTTGACTTCATTTAAGAAATTGTTTCAAATAAATAATTTTATGAACAATAATGCGAATATTATAAAAATAAAATAGTAAAAAAATTTTTAAAAAAAATGAGTAATGTTGAACATTCAAATAACTATCATCTATTCAAGAATATCAAAAATTAAAACAAACAACAACGAATTTAAATGAAGATCTAAAAAGATTAAAGAAGGTTAAGTAAAGATTATTTTTATTAGCAGTCTAATAAATTTAATTCTGCAGTTATTGAGCTTAACATACTAGCTGCTTATTAGTCAATAGTCTGAGTTAGGTTTCAAAAATCCCTCAAAAATTTGGTATTAGAGCCATAAAACAATGTTGTTAAGAATGTAATTAAGAAAGTAAGATTTTATGATCAATAGATTGATATATAACAAAGATTATAGCTAAAGAAGAAATGATACCCCTATAGAATTGATGAGTTACTATGGGATAGATATGTCTATAAAATTTGTAGAGCATCACCTCTAGAAAAATTAAAAAATTTAGTAAGATAAGAATAAAATCTATTTTTATAGCAAATATAAATTGAAGAACAAGAAGATTAAAGGAAATATATTTCAAAGACTAAATGTTTCCTTATAGAATAAGAACATTTCCGCTAAAGATAATGGAATAGATAAAATTAAAATGAATATGAAAGATAATAGATAGGATTGGAGAGACCAAAAATAATAGATGAAACTGAAAAGAATTTAAAAGTTAGTAGATAATTTGTTAAATTAAGTCATTCTGGACTAAAGCGTTGGGCTTGGCTTAGCCTTGAATCCATTGTTTTTGTTCCTATTTATCACTTTATATTTATATATTTTTAGTTAAATTTTTAGTAATTTTATTCATTATATTTTTATGTGAGAAGCATTTGCAAGTTGGGTCTCTTAAAAATTAAGAGAAAAAATGTATCAAAACTACGTCATTTTAATAAACTCTCATTGAAAATAAACTAAAATAACTCACTTTTTAAGTATAAATGAGAGTATTTTGATTTTTTTTTTTCATGATATTTTATTGAAATGAATAGTTTTAAGATATTTTCATCTGAATTTTTTAAAGGAGCTATTGATAAACGTCAATCTCTTTTTATGTATTATATATATCACACCCAAAACTAGGAGCGGAACAGACGCCGTACATTTGTGAACATTTGTGAAAGGATCCCACAAATGCACAAGGTTCAGAACTTGTTTAATTCATATCTAGCAGTCCACTGACTAAGATCTAAATCTTGAAATAAAATCTGCTTTTTATAATCCAAGCTTTACTAAGCCAAGAGTGCACGAAAATTATACAACTCCATTAATAAAATCATATCTCCAAGGAAATTTAGCCTACAAAGGAATGATCTATATCTCAAAAATCTATATCCAACATGATTAGTCTAGCAGGTTTATCTCCAAAATGAACTAAGTACAAAATATATGTGGCTTGCTTTCTAGCTTGTCACTCCTCTTAGTTTCCCATGACCTTGGTCTCTCTACCTAAAATGGTGAACAAGGAAAACTATATGATGTAACTCAGTAAATAAAAATAGGTTAAATACCCTTTTTGGTCCCTCTACTATAGGAAAAAGCCATTTTTTGATCCCTGTACTGAAAAAATCCTCTTTTTGGTCCTTACTGTTCACAAATCCGGCCCCTTTTTAGTCCTTCTGTTAAATTTTGGTTGATGTGGCAGGTTAATTAACGGAAAAACTTATTTTGTTTTTTATTAAATTACATGGAAAATCCACGTGGCAAAAATTGATGACATGGTTAAATTTTTTACTTTTAATTACTGATTTGCCCCTTAAAAATTGATGACATTTTAAAATTTTTTCCTTTAATTACTAATTTACCCTCTTCTTTCCTCCCCATCCTTTCCTTCCTCCGGCCTTTTCTTTTTTTTTTTCTTTTTTTTTCTTTTTCTCCTTTTACCTCAGGCGAACCCAAGAGTCTGGGTTCACGAGGAACCCAGCTCACGGGTTCACACCCAACAGCTTGGGTTCCTCGCAAACCCAGCTCGTGGGTTCGCACCCAGGAGCCTGGGTTCGCGAGGTGCGAACCCACACTCTGGGTTCGTGAGGAACCCAGCTAGCGGGTTCGCACCCAGCGTCTTGGGTTCCTCGCGAACCCAGCTCGTGGGTTCGCACCTAAGAGCCTGGGTTCGCAACCAGCTTGCGGGTTCGCACCCAGGAGCTGGCCTCCTCACTGCCGCCAATTACAACAACCTCGGCCAGTGCGAGACCCTCGACGACATCAAGATGCACCTTTCCGCTACTGAATACGGGCCTTATCTCCAGAATGGTACGTTTTGATTTCTTCATATCTATTAATTTTATTGATGCTGTTCGGAATTTTGATATACAATTTGAAATTAAGTGCACGATCATGAATTGAGTATTGAGCTGAGTGTGATGAGGTCGAATGGTGTTTAATTGTAGCAGGAGAGAGTTATGCCTGATGTAATTCGATGTTTTGTGTTTTTTCTGGATATGTAATGCCCTGTTTGTTCGTTATGGCTGCCTTTTAGGTTTTGCGAACTCAGGCTCTTAGGTTTGCCTAGAGGTAAAAGAAAAAAAAAAGAAAAAAAAAGGTTGGAGGAAGGAGAAGCCGGGAAAGAAGATGAGGGTATTTCAGTAATTAAAATTAAAATTTTGCATGTCATCAATTTTTGCCATGTGGATTTTACACGTAATTTAATAAAAAAAAATGAGTGTTTCCGTTAATTAACCTGCCACATCAACCAAAATTTAACGGAAGGACTAAAAAGGGGCCAGATTTGTGAACAGTATGGACCAAAAAGGGGATTTTTTCGGTACAAGGATCAAAAAAAGGCTTTTTCCTATAGTAGAAGGACCAAAAAAGGTATTTAACCATAAAAATATGGATAGCCCTCATTGAAATTTAAAGCATGCTAGATAAACATTTTAATTTTAGACAGGAAGAAAATCTCAATTGTAAATCATTTATGGATACTAAAATTTATTTAGTGATTCCCTCATTTAGTCATGGCTAGTGTACTATTCTAGTTGGCAGGATAACAGAAATAGCAATGTATGATCCCATTGGCAGGATACCAATGTACTCTCCCATTGGTAGGATAACAAAAGGCTTAATTCAATTTTTAGTCTATTAACTATCACCTTGATTTCATTTTAGTCTAGAAACTATGTTTTATTTCTAAGTGGTCTATTAACTTTAGATTCATTTCAATTTCATCTACTTGGTCAAAGGTAACGAAAAATTTCCTATTCTGTTAGAGGACAGTTAGTCCTCTAACTATATTTTTTTATCTTTTAGTCCTCAAATTTATATTTGTTATAAAAGTAGCTTTTATACTTAAAATTATTATTTTTAAACTCTGATACCAGATTTTTATACTTAAAATTATTATTTCTAAGTGGTCTATTAACTTTTAGGCTCTAATACCAAATTAAAGAAATAAGAAAACTTGTATAAAAATTTGGTATCAGAGCCTATAAATAATAATTTTAAGTAAAAAACTATTTTCATAACAAATATAAATTTAAGGATTAAAACATTAAAAAAATATAGTCAGAGGACTAACTAAATTCTCTAACAGAATAGAAGTTTTCTGTTATCTTTGAGCAAGTAGACGAAATTGAAATGAATCTGAAAGTTAATAGACCACTTAGAAATAAAACATAGTTTCTAGACTAAAATGAAATCAAGGTGATAGTTAATAGACTAAAAATTAAATTAAGCCGATAACAAAATTACCATTGTACTTTCCCACTAGCAAGATGAACCAATCCAACAGATATACATATCGACATATGCCAGCATTTACAACTCTCACTGGTGGGCTTCAGGAATCATGACCATATTTGAGACAAAACCATGTAGGAGTTCAATAGGAAAATTCACAATTTACAAATATGTAGGAATCAACAGAAAAATCCATAATTTACCAATATGCAGGAGTTAACAGGGAAATTCATAATTTACAATTATGCAGGAGTTAACAGGAAATCATGAATTATAAACCAATTTCAGATTTTCAGAATAGACAAGTAAACTCCACTCCATGTAGGCATGCTTAACTCAATAAAAATAATAACAACTTCATTTCAAATCAGTCATGCTCATGTGCTAATAAAAATCCGTTTAGGTCTTGCTACCATCTCAAAAACAGTTCAAAATATGCTTTTAAAACCTTTACCTTAAAATGCAAGGGCATTTACCATGATTTTACTTACCTTGTCTTGTAGGTATTCAACAAGTAAGGAATTCAAGAACTCAAGGCACTTAAGGTGATTTAAAACCTATACCACATCAATGAATACTTAGAATATGCTTAAAACAGCTCCAAATGTCACACTAAATAGTAGGTATCCCAATCAGATTTTCTAGACAGAATAAGGCAGAAAAAAAGTGAGAAACCAAGCTCAAAACCATCCTAGACACCAGCTTCAAATATCACACAAACAGTAGGTATTCCAAATAGATTTTCTGGACAGAATAAGGTGGAAAAAATGTGAGAAAGTGAGCTCAAAACCATCCTAGACACCAGCAGAAATATTGGGTAGCAAAGTGGGGGTTTCTGTCATTTAAATCAATCCCAAAATGCTTGGAAAAAGCCATGGACAATAGGGATTTTTTGGGCAAAAGATAGTAGCAAAACTGTGCAGATTATAAGCCAAAACTGAGCTAAAATGGACAGTATTTAAGTAGAAAAGCAGTAGCAAAAAGGCAGCTAAAATAAAGTAATAACAAGGGGTTTTAGAGCAAGAAAACAACAGCTAAAAGTCTCTAAAACTATGATGCAATATAGCAACAAAAAATGTGGGAATTTAGTAGAAAACAAAACAAATTTCTAGGAAAGTTTTAGTTAGATCCCAAATGGGAAGTTCCAATAGAATTTTCATCTAGAAATTGACCAATTTGGACTGAATTGTTAAGAGATAAATTATAGCCCTATGTCTTAGTGTTCTATAAGATCAAGAATCATTTTAATCTGACATGTACAGAGAAAGTTATGGCCCAAATATTAAGATAAGGTTAGCCTTCCAGTTCTATCTGCTTGCAAGAACTGAATTTGCAGTAGAGTTTTTATCTTGAAAATAGCTTAATTGGGTTAAATGTTCAATAGAAAAACTATAGAGCTATCTCTTAACTTTCCATAAAATAAAGAATGGACCTAATTCGATAGCTATAGAAAGAGTTATAGGGAAAATACTATTGCAAGGTCATGTTATCAGAATTTTTAGTAAAAAGAAAATTAAATTCTAGTGGTACTAGGTTATGGGTAAAATCAAAGAGGAAAATTACAAAAATAAATCCCAAATTGAAAACCCTAAGAGCATGTTTGGAACACAAGATTAGATTGGATTGGATTGGATATAGTTTAAAAGATAGGATTAGATTGGATTAGATAAAATATATTGTATTAAATCTAATGTGATGTTTGATTGATTGCTAGATTAAAGTGAGATTAGACATAAAAATTTATTTGTATAGACAAAAATACCCATACATTATAATTAAACTTAATAAAATTTCATTTTAATTTGTTTTGGAATTAATCATAGTAACATTTACTAGTAAAATTAATTGTGATAATTATCATCAATTACTTTTATCAAAAAATTTATAATTATTTATTGATTAATTGCACATAATTATGTTAAATAGCTGTTTTGGTCCCTCTACTATAGAAAAAAGTCTCTTTTTAGTCCTTATACTAAAAAAACCTGCTTTTTGATTTTTAAAGTTTAAAATCCAATTCCTTTTTAGTCTCTCCGTTAAGTTTTGGTTGATATGGCATGTTAATTAACGGAGAAACTTATCTTTTTTTCTTTACTTAAATTACATGGAAAAATTCATCTAGTAAAAATTGATGACTTGACCAAATTTTTTATCTAATATAACCTTAAAAATTATTTAATTACATAATTATTATTATAAATATTTTTAAATTATTTTGTAACTACTTATTTGTCTCCATCTTCTTCCCCATTCTGTCTTATCCTCTCCTTCCACTGGCCCTTTTTTTTTTTCTCTTTTACCTTTGTTGGGTTCGTCGCGAACCCAGGTGCGAGCTGGGTTTGTCTTGCATCCAGAACCCTCCTTCTTCCCATTAATAATCTTCCTATCATCCCCAAGACAAACCCTTATATCACTGTTGTTACCACCACCATCATGATCTCCACCTCCACCTCCTAAAATCCTAAAATCTGCATAAAAGACCTCCCCAGAATTAACTCCAACCTTAAAAATGGAATTCAAGTTATCTGAAACACAAACATCTGCAAAGCAGTTAACTTTCTCCTTCAACTCAAAAACCACATTCCCAGACCGTATATCCCAAAACTTAATATTACCCATTACACCAGATAATTCACTATGCGAACTTACAACCATAACCAATCTATGATTTGAAACCCAGTTCAGCTTTGTGGCAGGGATTGCAGGTTCAATATCAGTGCCATAATTCTCATAATGCCCAATCTCAATGACAAGTTTCAAGGTGTTTATATCATACACCATTATTGAATTTGAGTTTCTCCTCCCTGACTCGAAGCTTGTAAATAAGAACTCGCTCGATGCCCCAATGGCTTGAACTGTAGAATTAGACTTGGTCACATTTTCCCAATTCAAAACTTCTTTGACATTCCCATTTTCGAGATCAAGATTCTATAGCCCCAAAAAATCCGTGGCCCCTGCTGCTACAAGTTTGGGAGAGATAGCAAGCAAAGAATCAATTTCAAGTTTGGGCGCGAGCTGGGTTCGTCGTGAACCTAGGAGTTGGGTTCATCGTGAATCCAAGAGCTGGGTTGGTGACGAAGCCAGCAAAGGTAAAAAAACAAAAGAAAGAAGAAGAAGCCAGTGGAAAACATAAGGGGGGGGGGGAAGAAGATGCATAAAACAACTTTTAAAGTATTTATAGTGATAATTATGTAATTAAATAATTTTTAAAATTATATTAAATAAAAAATTTGGACAGGACATCAACTTTTATCATATGAATTTTTACACATAATTTAAATAAAATTTTTTTTTGTTAATTAACATATCACACCCACCAAAACTTAATAAAACGATTAAAAAAAACCTCGATTAATAAAGCGGTTAAAAAGAAATTCGATTTCAAATTTTAAGGATTAAAAAAAAATTATTTTAGTACATAAACTAAAAATGAGTTTTTTTAGGGAAAAAAAATATTTAACCCACATAATTACAATAAAATCATATTTAATTATCATCAACATTTTTCATGCCTCTCACGCAACCTAACAAGGCAACAAATCAAACCGCAAATTGAAGTGGATGGTCGACTTGATCAAGAAGAGAAATCGGAGAACCACCTGAAAGTGCTCGACGACTTCGTTGCTGAATTCTTGTGATTGGTTTGGTTAATGCCTTTAGATCAGAAAGAAATCGAGGAAAGAAGCGGGAAAAGGAAAAAAGCGGAATGGAGAAAAACCAGGAGGAAAGAGAGAGGAAGGAAGAAGAAACTATCCGTCCAACTACTCACAAAGATGGATTCCAATGTGTTGTCGGCGTTATGCCGATGTGCGTCGATATCTATTTAAAGAAGATTGACAAATATAAAACAATAAAAGGGGTAGAGAACCTGGAGATAGCAAAGGGTAGAACTGTAAAATCAAATCTTATCCCTATGGAAGGATGACAAGATGGATAAAATATGGGACAACAATCATCCCATCTATTTACCTTACCAAAACATGGGACACAGTGGCATGAGACAAAATTTTTATCCCATGCCATTGTCAATCTAGCACTTCAAACATGCTGTAAAGGATTAGAGTTAACTTAATTTAAATTAAAGATGAAAAAATGAGTAATATAATTGATTGTTTATAAAAAAATGTTGAAAAAGGGTGACCTCTTACGCTGCTTTATTTATGTGACATGGATCAAAAAATTAGGAAAATATCAGCAGCAAGATTTGGATTTGATCCTGTTTTTGATAATCATAAACTTATAAATCTCTAAATCAGATTAAAAAAAAAAAATCAAATCTCACCTGATTTCTAGTAGAAAAAATCTAAGCACATGGCTCGGCTTGACCAAATGAAATTCTGGTAAAGGCTGAGGGGAAATCATGTAAAAAAGGCAAGGAGAGAAAAAAGAAAATCAACTTTAGCTCTTTTTATTACCAAAATTTTTTTTAATCCCCATAAGTTTGTGGATTTTAATTATTAAGCCTAACAATAATAATTTTTATCACATAAGTCCCTAATTTAAATTTTAAGATTTCAGAAAATTTTGAGATATTACAATATATTTTAATCTTCAAAATTTTAAGTTATAAAAACCCTTCATTAGTAGCTTCTTGTCTCATCCATTACCAGGTCTACTCTTTATACTCCAAACATATTAGACTTTAAATTTTGTACGAAGCATAACATACATAATTGATTCTATTGCAAATGCATATGGATCTTGCACATCTTTATCCTCACTTTTTGTGTCTGTTGACACATCTTCTTATGGAGATGCATCCCATGGGACAAGTATCCATCCTCTCTTAGATTGTTTCATACTAAATCACTTAAATACCTTTTTAATGTATGCAGTTTGACATAATTTTAATTAATAGCTTCTTAGACATATTTCTGTAGATCTTTATGTCTTAGAGATAGGCTGCTTCACCTAAAACTTTCACGGAGAAGCATTTTGCCTAACCAAGTCTTTACAGACTCCAAGGCCTATATTGGTTATCTTATAATTAATATGTCATAAACGTACAACGCGCCCTCCTACCAACTTTCTTTTAAATACAAGGCCCACTTTCGTTCTTGATAAAGTTAAACTTCTTAGCTGTTTTATCAAGTGGGTTTATACTTTTCATCAAGCTCAGCAATATCGATACTTCAGATGCGCAGTATTATACTTTATTCAAATTAACAATTTTCAAAATTTTGAAAAAAAAACCACTAAAAGATTAGTTTCTTGAACGAATTTAAAATTTAACAATTATATTAAGGTGTCGATCTTGGTACTTCTGCATTTCAAAAAATTTGTAATATATACCTAATTTTTTTTTTATATATAAAATTTACCTAATTTAAGTTGATTTTAAACATCTAATTGAATTTGAAGACATTAATTATACCTCTTTAAAACTCACAAATCAAAAGAACAAATTTAATAATATTAATACTATTAAAAATTATGTACGACACAATATCCTAAACATCGAATTATGCGACTGTGGCCTTAACTGTTGATTTGGAGATCAAAATGCTTTCGGTGGCAGTTTCTTTTCTTTCTTTTTTTTTTTTTAATAGGATAGCACAAATTCAAAAAAGAATGAAAAAACTATTTGAATTTAAAATTTTGGTCAATTAGCTTGAAGGTCTTTCTCTCCTTTTGGTGGCAGTTAGGTGTGGTAGGAAATGGTTCAAAGGACTGCTTAGAGATATATATGGGATGTTTGTTTTCACCTTTACAAATAATGATTCACCGTTGATTTTAATTAAATAAATTAGATATTTTAAATTATAAATAATAGGTTAAAATTTTTTTTTGATCCCTAAATTATTATACAGACCCCCTGATTTAGTCCTTAAACTAAAAATTTTTTTGATTTGATCCCTATTATTTACACATTTTACCCCAACTTGATCCTTCCGTTAAAAAATATAGTGATGTGTCCCGTTACTTAACGAGTATGATGACATGTCAAAATATTCTGACACGTTAGCTGTACACATGGACAAAACACGTCAGATTCTGGGCCAAAAAAAAAAAAAATTGTGGGGCCCACCTCAAGCCCCCCAAACTCACTATCTTCTCCCCCTTCTCCCCCTTCTTCCCCTTTCAACCCTAGAAGAGCAGTTCTCCACTGGGTTCTCGAAGGAACCCAGCCGCTGGGTTTCGTTGGAACCCAAGAGCTAGGTTCTTTCTCGAACCCCTGGGTTTTTTCTCGAACCCAGGCGCCTGGGTTATTCCCAAGGCCTGGGTTCCAACGAACCCAGCGCTTGGGTTCTCGAAGGAACCCAGCCACTTGGGTTCTCGAAGGAACCCAGCCACTTGGGTTCTCAAAAGAACCTAGGTGTTGGGTTTCTTCTCGAACCCAGGCGGTTGGGTTCCTTCTCGAACCCAACGCCTGGGTTCTTCCCAAGGCCCTAAGAGTTGGGTTCGTTTGAATCCAGGAGCAAAAAAATTTCTATTTTTTTTTTTGTTTTGTGGGTTTGGTTGTTTGAATGAATTGATTGTTTGAATGAAGGAAGATTTGAGAAAGAAGATGCTGGAGGAAGAAGATGATGCAAAATTGTAATTTGGTGGGCCCCACTTTTGTTTTTGTGTTGGGTATGACCATGTCATCATTTATCTAGTTGGACAACTTACGTGTTTTAAATTTTTGATATGTCTGTGAGTTAACGGACGATTTTTAACGGAAGGACCAAGTTGGAGTAAAATGGGTAAATAGTAAGGACCAAATCAGAGATTTTTTTAGTTCAAGGACTAAATCAAGGATCCGTACAATAATTTGGAGACCAAAAAAGGATTTTAACCTAAATAATAACAATTATCAATCATTATATATTAATTTTAGCTTTTACCTATAGCCAAATAACTAATCGAAACAACCCTGTAACTATCTGTATTGTCTTGTTATGATAATATCTTACAAAGTTTACTTACCATACTTATTCTGGAATTTAAACTATGGAACTACTTCGCCGTCTAGGAAACTTGGAAACTGAGACGGGAATTGCTGCATTTGTGATTTCAATTCTCTCCATTCTTCCATCCAAAGACTGTAGCTTGAGTACTTTACGAGTACATCTTTTGAAACCTCTTTACTCTCGATCAATTCTTTTGCATATCTTTCGAAATCATTAATCTTGTCGCAAAGCCAAACTCTCTTCATCACATCAGTTTCGGATCTAATATTATCTAGGAACTCCCGAGCTTCCTCTACCTTCGCCCAAAAGCATGAATCTTGAGTAAGGCTAGCGAATTTGCTTCTCTTTTTGTTTCCTTCCTCTGCAACCCTTCTATCATTCCACCACTTATCAAAAATCTGATACCTCCTCTCCCTTCCTTGAGTTCTGTAATGACCTTTGATACGGAGCATGCCAGTTCGATAGTACTCCGCAATATCTAGTGGCTCAACAAGAAGCTTGTAGAACTGGGCAGCATTGACCCACTTTTCCCGCCTGAGAAAATCATATGGTAGTTGATTATTTTCAAGCATGTAGATCACACTGTTCCAGAACCCAGCAAGCTTGTGTCTGTTCATATTGACTCTAGAGTCCCTCTTTGAGGCTCCTCTGAGCTTGAAGGAATCATAGTAGCCCATTTGATCATCAGCTTGATCACAGCAGGCTTTGTACCACTCAATTTCAGCTCTGTAAGGTGTTATCTTGGACAATCTTATTGCTAGATTCGCACCATTCAGGTTTGGGGTTCGTCCCATTCGCCTAGCCATCTTCAGGCAGTCTTGCCCCATTCTTGCCATAAGTTCCTGTAGTTTGATTCAAGAACAATGAGAAAAAAAGGTCTGTCAAATGGAACTAATTACTGTTTACCTGAGAAAATTAATGTATCTTAGTACCTTGGTAGTTATTTCTAAGGACTCCAACGCTAAAGCAACTCCCGCTTCGTAGCTTGAATCATAAATGTTCCTTTGGAGAAAGCTTCTAGCCTTCAAAAACTGTAACTGAACTTTCTCAACATAGTCTCTATAATTGAGATGGTCCTCAATTGCACAATTGGGTGAGCTCATGACTAGCATCAAATGCATCAACTTGACCACAGAGTTTGCATTATCTACACAAATGGCTCCCTTATGGGTACAAAGGACATAGCTCCCAAAGGGCCAGAACGGACTTCTCTCAGACCCTTCTGCATGCGCCAAAGCTTCTAGATGAGACAATACAAAGCAAAAAATACTAGACTTGATTTCATCATTTAGTTGAGAAGCAACTAGTCCAAAGTGTCGATGAGTCATGGACAAGTGCCAAAAATGTAGAAGGATTTGAAGTTGAGGATTGAGGGAAGCTACTGGAGCAAGGAGCAGCCGTGGCATAATGTCATGTTTGGAGACGATGTGGCAAAAGTTTCCTCCCCATCTTTCACGAAGGATCACCCGATGAAGTGCATCATTTCCTAGCAAGGGAGAACCAAATGTGACGCATACTACTGATATTGGAGAAGGTGAAACCATGGATTGGCAAAGGAGACAAATAGCTAAAAGAGAAGCAGTTGTTCCTCCCAGGGAGTGGCCTGTTATAACCATGGACTTGCATCTCTCCATTATTGTCGACATCTGCATGACATTATTACATTTAGATACATGTTTAATGTTTAAAGCCGAGAAACGGAATTCACTATTATTAAGATAAGGAAATCATAAGAGTCCATCAAGATAAAAGAAGAAAGTTAATTAGATCTCAATTGAATTAATACAAAACCACATCAAATGAAACTCAAAAGTAGCTAGCATATAATTAAAATGGAAATTAACATAAAGTAGAAGTCAGAATTGAATAATGACAGCAGCCCAACTAGGCCATTGTCGTCACTATTTCAAGACTGCATTGACAAATATTTTCATGCTTCACTATTTCATGTTAGAGACTCAATTGCTGGAATAAAAGAATTTAACAGATACATTATAGAAAGAATTATTTTCCTTTTTGCTGTTAAATAGGTTAAGGGCGAAGCTAGAAATTAACGTCAGGGGGTCAGAACTGCCTTTTTGATTTGTGCACGCCAAAAAATAAATTTTGCAAAAATCACGACTTGCGAATAAAATTGACATTCACATCTACAAAACTAAAATTATGTGCCTAAGATGTAGAGAAACTTCTTAAAATTCATGCTACTTGAAATTTCAAACAAAATTAGTGCTACAAAATATTAATTAATACTTTCAAAGAATAAATTAAGACGTTTTAAAAAATCAACTCGCCAAATTCTAGTTAATTTTATAGTGCAACCTTTAGTTGGAGGAATAATATAGCAAAAATCTTTAATAACTAAATAACATCACAATAACCATGTCAAGTAAACACATATATTCTCATAAACAAAAACTTATTTTACTTTTGAGTAGTTGATAATTTCTTACATCTTATAATAGAATTTATTATTCATTCCATTAAAAATTATCAAAGAAAATAAAAAAAATAATGATTGGTTTACCTTCCAATTCAACATATTCCTGAACACACTCATTAAGGAATCATTATCTTTAAATTTGAATTAAAGATGAGAAAACTTAAAGCTGTAGATTTTAATAACAGAATCACCTTTGAATTAAAGGTAGAAAAAATAATGATTGGTATACCTTTCAATTCAACATACTTCACAATACACTCATTAAGAAATCATTATCTTTAAATTTGAATTAAAGGTGGGAAAACTTAAAGCTGTAGATTTTAATAACTGAACCACCTTTGGATTAAAGGCAGAAAAAATTATAGATTTTAATAGCTGAAGCAGTTGTAATTTGATTTTTTCAAAAAATCTAAGGTACTATTTGAAAGAGGTTCAGTTTCACTGTTCCTAGATTTTGTAGTATGAATGAATATATTTTGTGGATCATTTATGGCATAGAAGCAGCTTTGAAAGAAAGCATTGAAAAAGGAACATTCTAGCCACCCTCATTTCAGGTCAACCTACCTCCACCAGTGGCAGTTTCGGCTTGCCCTCCACCAGTGGCTGTGGCAAGCAAGATGGCTTTTCCTCGATTGAACCATCTTGATATTCATGGGGATAATGCTGCCAATGTTGGATCTCAAGGTGCCATTGGGTGACTTCTTTTTGCTATCCTTTCTATTTATAATGTTGGATGTGATTGTCATTTTATGCGGGGTTTGGCTTGTTGGTATGGTGCAGAAAGAAGGAATTGCTTGGAAATCTTGAGAAAAAAATGAAAGTAAACAAAGGGCTGAATACATATTAAAGAGGGAACATGGGGTAATGGGGTAAATGATAATTTGACTCTTCAATTTTAAGCCTTATATAGGTCAAATTGGCCAAATTTCATTTCTGTGTCTAGCTTTTTTGCATAATATGGACCAGTAAAGAAGATATGGAGTCAAGACCAATTGTAAGAAGGAAAATGCAAAGTCTGTCCAATGATAGACTGGTCAGCTCAAGGATACAGAAGAGGTGAACAGGAGCGAATTGTGGGGAAGGTACTGGCAGTGGGCTCAGGCTTGGTTTGTATTTATATCAAGGAGTATAACTCCAATTTAATTCCTAATTTTGATTGCTTTAATTGTGTTTCTGGGAGTGGTGGTTTGGTTAATTGGATTTTTGAATTTGAAGTAAAGGGGTCATGGAGTATTATTTTAGGTTTTTTAAGACAAGCCACCACATGTTAAGGTAAAAATGCCTTAGTGAGGTTGGGATGGTTTTTGAGCTGTAAGATTATGGGATTACGGTACGGTTTGTTAAGGGGAACTTATGATATGGTAGAAACATGTTTTTTAATGTGAGGATTCTTGTATTGAAAAATAGAAATTGTGAGAATTCTTGTAAATGATGATGTAAAGGGCAGAGGTACTCCTACCTTCTTAATAAAACCATTTTTGTTGCCACTCCAAAAATGTTGTTTATTTCGTGCAATTATAATATGATCACTAACCATTCTTCACCTTAATCCTTGTGTTAAATCTTGATATTATTGTTGTAAGATATTTAATTTATTTTCCTCATCATTGTTCTTACCAAGGATAGTTGTGACTGTTTTTAGAATGATGAAATCCTTGACTCTTTTGCAATATCCCATTGATCACCTTACTCGAAAATATGGAACGATGAAATCCTCTAAAGGCATTGCAAAAATCTTACAGAAAATTTGGAAATCGGAATAAAGGAAACAAAGATGGAGGAAGATGGAAAGATGAGAAACCTGAGTTGATGTGTTTTAGTCGCGGTTTGTTATAATAGGTAGTATTTTCGTCAAAAGTACTACATATTGGCGTTTGATAATTTTTTTTCACAAATTCTTATGTATATGGTGTTTGGTAAAATATTTTATTTGGTTATTTAATTGTATCAAGTAGCTTCCATAAAAAAAAAAAAAAAATTGTATCAAGTAGCAGTTAGCAGTTAGCAATTAGTTAGCAATTAGAGTTAATCCAATAGTAGATTGAAAAAGCTTTTCAAAGTAACATTTTATCCTAAACCACTAAGAGTTAGAATTTTTAAATGATAAAAATAAAGGAAACAAATTCTAAACCAATGACATGATGTGAGTCCTACCATTAAATGAATTGATGCATCTAATATTATAGATTTCAATAAAGTGAAAAGAGCTAATCAATAAATAATAAAAGGTCCATCTTTAAATATTTTAAATAACTTTTTAATATTTTAAATGACATATCTTATTTAATTCCATTTATAATTATTCTCGATTGAGAAAAAACTTAGAATTTAAGCTCAATTATTTTTACCTGTTTAAGTTTTTCCTCAACCAACCATTGCCTAAAAAGAACAGGGGAGAGAGGGGCTGAAGTGAAAGAAAGAAGATTAGATGACCGAAAGGAGAGATAAGAATAGGGGAAAGGAAAGGAATGAGGAAAAAGAAGAAGAAGACATGGATGTTTATGAAATTTTAATATTTTATATAGTTTTTCATATTAACTAATGGAGGATTGCCTGCTACCTCATTGACGAGGTGGAAAATTAGTGCCACACAAGCAAAGAAGAGACGGATGTCGGAGTCACGTGGTTGAACGTGGTGTGAGCCGTTACAGGGTTAAAATGCATTGATTGTGGGCTTCAGGGGCTTGTATGTTTAAAAATTAGTTTAGGGGCTGATTCGAAATATGGGAAAAGTATATGGGCTTAACAATGGGTTTTGCCAATTTTATTTTGTTTCTCTTGTGAATTTATACGGCTTGTACATACTTTTTAGCTTTCCTTTGCGGGTCGTACTGGTTATTTAATTTGTTTATATATTTAATGAAATAGTTAATTAATTGGTTCATATAGTTTTGATTAGGTAATTTTGGAAGTGCAAATTGAATATTATTGGAGACATTTTTTATTTAAAATAATCAGTACCAAATGAGCTCAATTAGTTATATATTTGGACTTTACAAACACAGGCATGTTTGTATTAGGTGTGTTATGCATTACCATTATAGTTATTTTAAAATTTTACATTAACTTTTTTATATTTAATTTTAACATTAACCTGTTCATATCTTTTTTTTTTATTTAATGTGGTTCGTAATTGATTTTTTTATTTGATATTAATTTGCTAATTAAGTCATAATTATAAATTAGTTAGTACAGAAATTTGTAATTTTGCCTCTATTTAAAAATAAAAAGTTAATTTATCTACTAAAATTTAACAAAGGGATATTTTTTTGTAATTGCATAATAATAATAAGATTTAATACCCTTTTTGGTCCCTCTACTATTGAAAAAAGCCCTTTCTTGGTCCTTATACCGAAAAAATCTCCTTTTTTATCCTTACTGTTTACAAATCCACCCCTTTTTAGTCCTTTCGTTAAATTTTGGCTGATGTGGTAGGTTAATTAACGGAAACACTCATTCCTTTTTTTTACTAAATTACATGGAAAATCTACGTGGCAAAAATTAATGATATGTTAAATTTTTTACCTTTAATTACTGATATACCCTCGTCTTCTTTCCCGACTTCTCCTTCCTCCAGCCTTTTTTTCCTTTTTTCTTTTTTTCTTTCTTTTACCCCTAGGCGAACCCAAGAGCTTGGGTTCGCGAGGAACCTAGCTCATCAGGTTTGCTTCGTCCGTGAAATCTCCGGGACTTTCCTAGCCACTATAGTTTTGTTTTTTTATCTTCTTTGTGAAATCAAGTTAAATGTAACAGTTTCGGTGATATTTCTTCATCGTTTCTGGAATTTCTTTTGATATTCTGTTTTTTTCATTTTTTTTTTCTTCTTTGTAGTTATATTGTGATTTCCAGTGATTGTGTTTTGCATTTGCAGATATGCATTGGATGTGATTATAGAGAGGGCAGAAGATGTTCTAATGCACAAGAGAGGTCTTGGGTTCGCTTGGAGGTAAAAGAATCAAAAAAAAAAAAAAAAGGCTAGAGGAAGGAGAAACCGGGGAAGAAGATGAGGGTATATCAATAATTAAAGGTAAAACATTTAACATGTCATCAATTTTTGTCACGTGGATTTTCCACATAATTTAGTTAAAAAAGAGGAATGAGTGTTTCTGTTAATTAACCTGCCACATCAGCCAAAATTTAATGGAAGGACTAAAAAGGGGCTGGATTTGTGAATGGTAAGGACCAAAAAGGGAATTTTTTCGGTACAAAGACAAAAAAAGAGCTTTTTCCTATAATAGAGGGACCAAAAGGGTATTAAACCTAATAATAATAATAATAATAATATAACAACTTTTTTAGTGTTAAGAGTTTTTTTTTTTTTTTGAGGAATTAGTGTTAAGAGATTTTAAAAAATAGAATTAACTACTTTTTGAATCTGTTATTTATTCGTTGAAGTTAAATAATAATGGTTAACTATTACTTCTACTACTTCCTCCATCCCAAAATGATAAATTTCTTTTTAATTTAAAATTTATCTCAGAATAATAGTATTCTTTCATATTTGAGGGAGAAATATACTTTTTTTTTCTATTTTAACTTTATAATTATCTTTTAACTTTAATTATTCATCCTCTGATAAAATATTTTCTTTATTTTTTTAATTCTTTTAGAATAAAATAGGTAAAAATAGAAATTGCTCCAAAATCCTTAATTTTAAGATAAAACCAACAAAGTCTATTTTTTGGGATGGAAGGAGTATATAACCAAACAGTATAAAATTACTATATGTTAATTACCCGCAATCCATTACTGCTATTTGACATCCACTAATAGTTATAGCATGGTATGATAAGATATGATTGAGGTAGTTAAAGCTAAATTTAAGTAGAATTGTGTTAAAAAGAAACATTGTTAATTAAAAATATAATTAAATTTACATTTTATAAGATTTATTATATATTTAGTTAGTATTTATTAAAAAAAATTTTAAAAATAATTATGTATTTATTTAATATTTATAAAAATTTTTAAAAGATAATTAAATATTTATTTAAAAGTTATTAAAAATTCAATAAGTTTTATAATATAATTACGAGTATTATTAAAGAGGTTAATACGTATAAATCTTTCTCTTAAAAAAATTATAATTGCAATTTATATTTAAAATCTAAAATTTTGATTCAAAATTTAAAAATTTAATTAGTTTTTAAATCTAAATATTAATATTTAATATGATAAATTTTTAAATTTTAAATTAAAATTTTAATTTTTTTTTAAAAATCTATTAAATCAATTTGTACCAACACCTATTAACGAGTAGACCAAGGTAAGGAGGCGATTTAAGGGTGCTCTGTCGGAGAAACTTCAGTTTTGGGTAGGGGTGTGTGACGCGGCACTAAAGGTTTGTCATAATAGAAGTGGATGATACAGGGGCTTTTACACAGTTTTTACACACTTGACTTTGTAAACAGCTTGATAACAGTATGTATCACCTAACTTATGGGATTGGGTTCAATTGCCCTGCTCTAAAAAATTGCCCTTGATAAAAAAAAAAAAAAAAAGATACAGGGGCTTTACATCTTCGCCTTTATTTGACAATGTTTTTTTATGTTTTAATTTTTATATTATTTTAAAATATATAAAATATTAATCAAAATAAATATTAAATATATTAAATATATTTTTAAAATATTAAAAAATTAAAAAAATTTATAACTACGACTAAAAACTAGTATTATCAAACTTGTCCTTCGAAGATAACGTTGGGAATCACTTCATTGCTCCACACGGCTAAAACACGACACGCTTTCGTGTGGACCATGAACAGAATATGCGATTTTGCTAACATAGATCAAGTCCTTAATAATAATAATAATAATAAAACAAATTGTCCTGGGAAATGATGCTTTTTATTTTTGTCCGTGGAAAATGATTTACGTTAAAAAACATTTACTATGAGGCTGTCGGCAAGAAACAGTCTGTTTTATTATTATGTACACCAAAAATTAAGTCATATTATGCTGTAATTATCATTATATTTAACTACTACAAGGTAATATTATTGTCATATTTTTAATTATTAATATCTTATTTTTTTATTTTAATTAATCATTATATTTTTAAATTTTTTAAAAAATTAAAAAATATAAAATTTTAAGAAAAAATACAATAAATAATTTTATTAAAAAATATAATATTAATTATTTAAAATATAACAATAAACCCACCCAAACTACAATAGAATTATTATTTTAAATTTATTTTTCATTAATGACATGAGATAAGAAAGAAAAATATATTATTATACGTTAAGTCTTTGAATTTAAGAAAAAACTGACATTAATCATGTTTGGAAGAATTTATAAGCAAAATTACTCATAAACAATGTCCTCTCAAATAGTTGAAAATTTATTAAAAAAATTTTAAATTTGGCTTTTAACTTGTATATAAGTTTTACAAAAAATAATAGCATTAAATTTATTAAAACTTGCTTATAAATTATTTTTAAATTAATTTTAAATTTTTCCAACAAATTTTAAAGTTTATAGTAAGAGAGAGAAGTAATAAAAAAAATTTCTAATATGTGTCCTATGAGCATAAGGTAAAAGCATAAGCTATGTATGTAATTAATATATTTTTTAAATTAATTAACATTAAAAATTATAAAAAAAATTAATATTAATTTTACTACCAATACTACAGTGATATTTTTAATTAAATAAAACAGAACCCAGTGTTAAACCCTTTAACTTTTCTCATTTTATAAACATAAGTTCTCAAAAGTCAAAAAGAGTGGCATACAAAATTTTCGATCTTAGGAAATTAGTTTTTATGTTAGCAATAACAATTACGATTGTCACGTGATACTCTCTATTACTTCAGTCTTTGGGTATAAAGAGAATGCTGCAGAAGAAAAGAACGAATAAATGTTTAAATCATATGACAACATATGATTGTCACCTTAACATAATGGACAATTTGCTAAGACCAAGATGTTCAAGGGCTTGTATACTACTTTTTCTTTGAGAGTTTATGTAAGAAAATGAAAAAAGTCTAGAGATTTAGTCGGCAGAATACCTAAATCCACTTTCAAGGATAGTGGTAGGATGGATCCATCTTAAATAACAAATAGAAATAAATCCATTTACAAAATTTTTAATTTAAACAAATCACTCTAAATTTAATATGTGATTTTATTTGATATCAACAATCTATTAACAATAAATTTATTAGCGACGTCAAAAGACGTCAGATGTTAAATTTTAAGTATTTATCCAAATCGAAAACTTTATAAATGAATTTATTCTCTTTTTGTTCAAGAATAGATCTATTCTTACACTATATTTTGAAAGTAGATTTGATATTTTGTCGATTTAAATATTTTGTCGATTTAATATTTAAGGTTTTGCCCATTAAATAAATAATTAAATAAAAATTAATTATTATTTTTTAATAAAAATTAATATTAAAAATATTCTTTAACCCTGTCTTAAAAATACGTGGCAGAAAAACTCATAAAAAACAAAGAAAAAAAAAACTGCTTAAGAAAGGGGTAAAACGATATTGATAGGAGGAGGACGTCAACGACGCTACAGGCCCGAAAAAGAGAACATGTCAAACTTCTCGGTTTTCATATGTGTGCCCATTCTCTAATCTAATGAATTATTGCACTGAAAATCCTGAAATGCGCCGCCCATTTGTTTGGTTGTGTGACGTGTCTGTTTGCTTTTTGATCATTCAACCAAATGAATGTTTTATTGTGAGAAAAAATTGAAAATTGTTAAAAAAAAAATTTTGGGGAGATACCGAAACAAAAAGGCCAGACTTCTGAATCATTCTTGGGGTAGGGCAGGGACATTCATTTTAAACTAAATGCAGGAGAAATTATCCTATTAACTAATTAATTTAGATAAATAACTTTAAATTTAATAAATATCATTATATGATATTAGCTTTCTGTTTTTTTTTTTTTTTTTTTTTTTTTGTTTATGTAGTGTTTTTTTATCTATGCTGGTAATAGCAAAATGACGATGATATAGAATGTCAGCAGCTAAATTTTAAGTGATTTATCTAACTTAATTAGTTAAGAGTACATCTATCCCTACTTTTGTACTTGGAGGATAAATTTGAGGTTTCCACCGAACAAAATCTTGTTCAATATAAAAAAGTACTGTACTGTTTATATTTTACATGGATGCTTGGGCCGTTCGCAAGAGTTCAATTTCTACTTTAAATCAAGAATTTAAAACAAGTAAAATCTTGTTGATACTAAAAATATTATAATAATTATAGCTTAGAGCTTAAATTATGGTTTTATTTACATGTGCTTTAATGATACGTATTAAAAGTATAATAAGTATATATTTTTATTATTAATTTATATTAAAAATAAAAATTAATATTAATTTTAAGAGTAGAGATTCACATGTATATAAATATTATATATTACATTTATATAAAATCTCAATTATTTATTTATCAACTTTTAATAAGTAAGATTTATTCATATTTATTAAAAAATAATTATTTTTTTCATTTAAAAATTATGATAAATCATAATTATTAAAAATAGAGAAATAAATTAACAAAATTTTATATAAATAGAGTATATAAAATTTATATGTAAATGAATCAATTTTTCATCTAATTTCCATACTAAACTTAAGTAGATGATTTTAATTAAAAATATCCGTTGCCTCTTCTCTCCCACCCATTCCCCTCAAGCTAAATATATTCTTAGTTCTTTTAAAACCTTTTTGTTCTTGCGTTTTTGCACTTAATTATATGACTATGAATTATGGTCTATGTGACTGATTTTTCTATCATGCTGGTACATGTATGAGCTTTATTGTTGATAACTGATGGTAATTAAACAAAATTTGCATTTTGCTTGAAAATAAATTTATTTGATTTTTTTAGTTTATCTTATTTTAAAAATTTTCAAAATTTAAAGATAAATGAAAGTTTATAGATTAATTTAGAAAATTTTAATATCATCAAACTTTTAGTCATAAGAGAAAAGACTTTGAAGCAAGCTGGCTGGTCTTGTTTAATTGTATAAAGGAGAGTTATTAGCTTGATTTTAACAGTTTAACTTAGAAATTTAAACATAAACCCAAACTTCAAAAGTGGGTCCGAAGCTTTGTCGTTAAAGCCAGACTGACGTTAGCTATTTTTGTCTTAATCATCTTATGTGTTGTTTTGCAAAATGGAGTTTCAATAAAAAAAATTTATAAAATGATTAAGTTTGCCATATATTTCCTCGAAGTTTCATCGGAAAGGAGATGTGTATTTCTTTTTAATTTTCTTAAATGGGTTCTAATTAATTAATTTTATAATTCTACTTTACACCTAAACTCAGAACATGGGAGTGGATTGAAGATCGTTTGTGGTTGTGGAGGAGACTTACGAGAAAAGTGGTGGGGACTACTAAATGCTTTTCCGTTCACCGCTTTTTCAAGAGTTCACACTGCATAATTCTCACACCGGAAGGTAGTGGAGGTTTGGTTTTACAATAACAATTGAAATTAAATTATTGATTAATTGAATATTTAGTTATTAAATTTTAAAAATTATTAGTATTTAAATTAAAAAAATTAAGTTTTATTAATTTTGATTAATTTTTTAAAATAGCTATTTAAATTGGTTTTAGTTTAGATAAAAAAATATTTCAATATTTTAAATGATTTTTTAATTTCTAAATTATTATTACATTAATTTTAGTCATTAAAAAATAAAAAAATGCCCAAATGAAAAAACAATTTTAGTAAAAAAAGTGACAAGAAAACCCAAAAAGGTCTACAAATTATTTTAAAATTTTTATATAAAAAGTTTTTAGACTTGCTTTTTTCATTATACTCACCCGAAGTTATTAATTTTTTGGTGTTTAGATCTAAGAATCAGCATCTAAACTATTTGAGATCGGTTGGCTTTGGATTTAAGTTAAAAAATTCCAATTCCAATCAAACTCAACTCATCAGTTATAGTTTCAGTTTGTTTCTAATTTTTTTCAAGTAATGGATTTTTTCGCCTAGCCCTACTAGGAAGTACGATGAGCATTGTGTAACTATTTGATTAGAGGGTTGACTTTATTAGTAAAGTTTTTATTAAAAAAATGATTTTATTAGTCAAGTTTTTATTAAAAAAGTGATTAGAAAAATATTATACAAAAAATTTATAAGTATTGTATAGAAAGTTGATTAGTGAAGTTTTGTTAAAATTTTATTAAATTGTTAAGTTTTCTTTATTTGATAAAAAATTAGTATAAAGAAAATTAATAAGAAAATTGTCAAGTGATTCCTACACAAAATAAGTTAAGAGATCTTATTTCCCTCAAAAAAATATAGAAAGAAAAATTTATGGGTTATGAATTGTATCAGAAAAAATAAAAGTTAAAAATATCACATTTACTTATTTTTATTGTAATATTAATATATAAAAATACATAAATAGTAAAAATATAAAAAAATGTAGGGTAAAACTTTACCCCAACCAAACAGCCTTTTGTATTTAACAGCCCTTGTATTTTAGAGAGTTGTGCTATTTTCTCAGTCTCGCCCAAATTGGACAACTATTTGATGCATTTTCTTCATTAAGGTGTTTTGAGTCTTATCGTCCCAACTACCAAACAGACAAAAAAACAAATGTTCTAATTCCCAAACTAGCATCTCTTCTGCCTACAGGTTTTAGGGCTACCCTCACTAAGAAAAAAAAAAAAAAATCTTTTTCGCCTACTTTGTGCAGAAGATGCATTGAACATTGTATTAGATTAATTAATCAGAGGTAAATTGGATATCTAATTCAAATTAATTAGAGGTAAATTGGATATCTAGTTTACACTGTGTTAAATTGTAGTAAATTAATTTTTACATAGGATTGAATCTTTTGATATTGAAACTATCCTCTATTTAATAGTCATTTTTTACATTTGGATGGTAAAAGAGAAACTCATTGGATATTTTATAGTTTTCTAATAATTGTTAAATTATAACAAATGATTTAAATAATTTAATGATAATAATTTTTTTAGTAAAATTAAGAGATCTAAATCTGAATCACATAATATATACGTGAAGTGAATTAAAAGATAAGAGAATGTTTGCTTTCATAATTCAAGATAAAAAAATTAAAAAACCACTAAATTATAAGAGAAAACATAAAATCAAAATATCCTTTCATTTAATAATAATTATATGATAAATTTAATAAAATTAAAACACTATATTACACATATTTAACGATTATAATTAAACGTCTAAACATTTTAAATATCATGATGTGTTGACTTTTTTTCTCAAATTATAATCCCACTTTTAATCCAATCAACTAATCTTTATTTTTATTAACATTTTTATTTTAACTACCACCTCCTAAAAAATTTAAGAGTTTTCTGACTTTATTTTTAATGGGTTGTATTTGATTAATAAATCACCTAAGGTATAATAGTTAAGGTGTATTAATTATATTTTTTTTATTAATTATAGTATTAAATAACATCAAAGTTAATTTTACTTTTAAAATTACTATGGATGATTTTAATCATATGTATGTGATAAAATTAAATAAAAAATTGTTCTTTTATAAACACATTAAAACCCCAAAAATTAAAAAGTATATACACAAAATAATATAGGGTCCAGACAAGATCTTAAATTTTTACATTAAAAATTTTAACGAGGACTCGAAAAGAAGTATATCCTGATATATTCTCTCTATTTTATATTAACTGTTATTTTTTAATTTTTTTTAATTAAAAAAATTAAAATTATATATTTATTTATATTATTTTTAAAAAATAAAAAATAATAATGAATTTAAAATAAAAAATATAATTATTTTAAGATTAAAAAAAATATAACGCTTCGCCCAGCTAAAAATACAAACAACAAAAATAAAAATAAAAAAAACTTTTATTGTACTATTTTTCGCTTCTTTCTCTATAATCAATAATCAGAGGGCTGCGAATAGAGATCGACTGACCTGGCATCGGAAATTAGGACAGTGATACACGGACAAGAAGAGATTTAGCATCGCCTCGTGCACCATGATTGGTCCCTCTCCTTCGCCGTATCGATTTAACGGAGCGAAGAGATTAGCATCCAGAGGGACCAAGCCTTTCCAATCCCGATCCGACCCGGAGACCTCTTGTATGCCAGAGAAACCGGAGAAAGCAACGTAGCACACGCTTCCGATAGATTTCATTAGGAAACTTCCCTGCGAGTTTCTGTTGGCGAGGTCGCAAAGCCTCCATGATTCTAATAACACCGGCGTGGACGCCAGAAATGTCGCTAGAATCTCGCTCGTCTCAAAACTGTTTTGATCGGAAAATTGAGGACGGGAAGGAAGAAAAAGGGGGAAATTAAGAAAAAGCCTAAATGGCTTAAGCAGTTACGCTTACCATGAAGTTTCCGCATCCATTTCCGTAGTGCTTGAGCTAGAGTCTTCAATTCAAAGTGAGAAAGTTTGAATTGAGTTGCTGGGTTATAATTAGGGTCCTCTGGTGGGGTACTCGCTCTACCACTAGATATTTTTCTTTTCTTTTTATTGCGGTTTTTAAAATAGATTTCTTTCAAGATGACCAGAAATTAGGCAATAAGGAAGACAATGACGTTTTAACCCTTTAAATATAAAAAATAAATAAATTAAAACCTTTTTAATGGATTAACATGTAAAAAAAAATATTAAAGATATTTAAATAATTTTATAAAAAATTGTAATATTTAAAATGTTAAGATGTTTTGATTTTTTTAATATATATATAAATAAAGTAATATTTCATTTACATATAAATTTTATACACCATAGTTATATAAAATCATAATTATTTATTTTTTTATTTTTAATTGTTAAGATTTATTTATATTTATTAAAAATAATTATTTTTTATCCAAAAATAAGGAGGGATCCACTCATACACACAAGTTTTACACTCCACATTTATATAAAATTTTAACTATTTATCTCTCAACTTTTAATAATTAAGATTTACCATAATTTTTTAAATAAAAATAATTATTTTTAATAAAAATAAATAAATCTCAACCATTAAATATAAAGATATGAATATTTGATATTTTGTGAAAATGTGATATATAATATTTACATGTAAATTTGAGATCTCCTATTTGTGTTTGAGGTTGGTATTTCAAATACATATGGTTAAAATACCCATATTTTTAAAATGTACTAGTTGAATTAGATACACATGAAGTTGAATTTCTAATTAAGGTTGTTTGTGGAATATTCTTCTAATAATTTTTTTAAGGGGTTTATTTATTTTGTGTTTTGAGGGTAAAGGATAAAAACTATTAATTATATAATAATAATTATTTTTTATCTTTAAAAAAATAAAGTTAATTTTTTTATTTTAATTGTAGATGCCATACGGTTAGATTTTTATTAATTAATTTTAAATTAAAAATCAAAAGTTATATTTAATATAAAATTTTACCTTCTTTCAAAAAAATCATTATAATTACCTAATAATAACATTTTATTTTATACTCTTATGGCATAGGATAGACAAATCCTTTCGTTAATGATAACTATTTATATTTTTTTCTCTTTCAAATATTAGAGTCATTATCTAAAAACTAAAAATTAGATAAGTAGGGGGTGACAAGAAAACATAAATGTTTATACAAAGAAAAACACAGAAAAATTTAGATGTATTGCATGTTCCCTATTTACTTAAAAGATGTTAGCATGTCTCCAATATAATTACCTTGTAACTTCTGATTGTATAACCTAAAATCAAAATAAAAAAATCTACCTTGCAACATTCAAAATGGCAAAGGTCCTTTATTTTCATCTAAACGACGCTAGAAGAGGGAAAAAAAAAACATTTAAAAAACAGGCTTATGATGCAAAGGCTCCTTTTATTCAAACTACTTGAACTCACCTCTCCCAGTAGTGCGGTTTCAGATCTGGCCATGCATGGATCAGGGTTGTACAATGGATCAGGGTTGTACAACCCACTCCGTGAATCATCGATTGAATAGGGTGAGCATTGGATATGGATATATCCACTATTTGCAAATAGTTTATCTATTTAGATAAGTATTTTACCTGAATTACAAAAAGATTGAATAAGAAATAGGTATAAAAATAATATCTCTGCAAATATTTAATTAAGTAATAAGTATAAGGGTTTAGAATTGTTTATTTGAACTGTTTAAATGTTTTATTTAACTAACATATTACATGAACTTATATAATTGAAATTTTGTATGCATTTATTATACTTAATATAAATATAATAACAGTAATTTTTAAAAATAAAAATAATAAACTACTATTGAGGGATGAATTTATATTATTTTGGAATTCACAATATGTATAATGCCACATTAGCAAGACCAACATTGAACTTGTGACTAGGAATGGCTCACATGATCTATTTCCACATCGATCTATTACATTTTATTTTTAACTAACAACTACAACAAAGTTGCATTGCTAGAAGCGACGTTCATTTATTTTGTTGGAAATATTGCAGATATAATCTACTTTAATACTATTATCATATAAATGGTTAAATACGACTAGATTTATCTCCCCAACATGGTTGGATGTTTTTTTGACAATAATGATCTCCACTATACAATTGGCTCCTAGCAATGAATAAAGAGTCTATCTTGCTACATTTACATGACTTCTATCCAAGGACAACAAGTTGATTTTATCACATCTATATAGCTCCTGGTGATGGATAAAGGGCCAGATATCTACGTTACATATCTCTTATCACTAGTTCCCATTAATGGACAATTGGCTAATTCTATTACATCTACACAACTCTCAATGATGGACAAAGGGCCTGATTTACTATATTATTTAGTGTCCAACAATGGGCAAAAAGTTACATATTTCTACACATCTTTATTATACCAACTCTCAGAAACAGACAAAGGGTTGGATTTCTCTACACATTTTATTTTACTAGCTCCCAAAAGTGGACAAAGAGTTAGTGCAACTCGATACGATTATTGTGAGATCGATAACAGTTGTAACCCTGCAATTGATTAGGATGGCTACCCTCCAACGATAAAAATTCATTAAGTTGTGGTCGATGGCTCCTTGGTGGTTACCTTTGCATGGTAGTGCGGTGCCTGGTGGACAACAACAACAACCAAGACCATCCTTTGACGATGCAAGTACGACAAGAAGAGCCATCATTCTATCATGGTACCACACCTTGTCAGTATCGAAGGCCATGGATGTGACTGGCATCCCCCTTTTATGGATAAAACTCTACACATTTTTATCACATATTCATCATTATGGCAGTCTTGGATTGATGAGATTTATCCCTTTCATGACTTGGTAGATTGTTGGGAGTGCTATTCTAATTCCACATAGTTCCCCTTGGCTATGGGGAAGCTATTCATGGCTAACCCTAAATATTGTCAGTGGTCATGCACATCATTAATCTTTTATACAAAGGGACAAAATTATGGATCACTGGTAATCTCGATCTACAACATATTTCTTCTATATTTTTTTTGTGTTGCTAAGTATTGTCGACTAGCTGCGCTTGATTTGGTAAAACAATATTGTGGCAGACATCCATATTATTCATTCTTTATTTCAACGCATCGCCAGACATACATGGCAATATTATACAAGTGCTCTCTATGGCCAGTGGATAGAGGGGCATAGTAGTGTTTATTCTCACCATTTCCTTCAATATACAAGGGAGTATTCTTCTTTGCTGCATCTACTTATACATTTTACCCTTATACATTTTACACTTATACATTTGAACAAATACTCAATCATATTTTGCTCTTTGTTGCAGATGAACACAAACCTATGAATCCAACCTCCTAGGGATTATTCGACATAAAATATGGGAGTAGTGGCTTAGTAGCTTAGATGAATGAACGTTGCCCACCTGGCGAAATATAGTATTTGTGCTAGCCAAGCTTGTGGTTGGTGATGTTGCTCAACTTCGCCAATAAGGGCTGGGTGGCAAAAATGTGGAGGTAAGACTTGATCCCAAAAATGCACTATTTGATGCTAACTAAAAGTTTTGAAACTCCATTAAAAACAAACCAAAGATGCCATTTGAGACTCTATTACCAATTTGCAGTTGTATTTAATGCATAAGTGGTTGTACAAGTTTCATTGCATGGGAAACTAGTGAAAAAGATTATATTTTGCTTGGGAAAATCATCAAAATCTTAGATGGAGGTGGCTTTGCCTGCAGTACTCAAGTGCCCCCAAATGTGGTATTTTGTATGGATAGAGAAATACCAAAAATGGGGAGTCTCAATAAACCAATAGTCCTTTGTTGGAGATGTTGGACAATTCATTATTACACTTCAAAAGTTGTCAACAGTACTTAAATCCACCCAAAACTTGACACTTATCCTCACATAACCCAAATCTAGCCGTTGGATTGTTGGGTTACTTTAGTCCCACCAACTCAAAATTATCAAAATGCCACTATATGTATTTGATTTTTTTTTTCTACATTTTTCAAGAGATTTTACATTACAGACAAGGTTTTTCATTCCACACAGTAGATTACACATGCAGGAGACTCGATTTTCTTTGAAGAATCCTTCATCTTCAACCTCTTGCTTCTCCTACAAAAATTTCCCAAAAATCTCCATTTTCTTCATATTTTCTACACTTCCAACTATAAAGAATACGCTCTAGACTTACAACATGTCATGGCTAGGGAACTTCATGCTACGATGTAAGATTTTGGGTTATCTTTCTTGAACATAAAAAGATCAAGCAACAGAGTTAGCATCAAGAAAAGGGATCAAGTCCTCCATTCAAAAGCCTTCACAACAGTCTTCCTTCTTTCTCCCATCACTACTTTCAAGTTTATACCTTTTGGTTTAGTGGAAGCTTGAAAAACATTATCATGTTTTTTAACCACAACATGAAGGTTGCTCATTTTATAGTGGGAGTATTTATCAAAGATAATAAAGGGCATGTTTATTGCGTTTATTATTATGTCACAATGTACTTTATATAAATGTGCATCTCAAGTTGTAAAAGTTATTCTTTATATTTTCTATCCTTGCTACTCTTACCATGATGTACATCTCTCCTTTTCATTATTTTTGGTAGTTATGTAATCGTCCTTTTCCCCTAAAATTCATCATCGTTGCCTAGCTCCTCTGGCTTGGCTAGGAAAGTTGCATTCTCAAATTTTGTTGAAGAATCTTGTGTTGACCACCTTCATTGGACAAAGGGAGATAACTTGTAGCATGTAGCCTTTTGCATGTTAGATGGGTGCAAGGTAAAAGGACCTTCCTCATCTCTTGTAAAGGAGATCCTAGTCAACCTCCACATTATCGTTGCTGACTTATCAACCTCCTACACCTTAACAAAATAGCCACTCCATTAGGGAGGTCATCCTAATGCATCATCCTTCTTCGCTCTTCTTTAGCAATATATCATCTCTAGTGTTTATCTTCAACAATACTTATTCATCTTCAGTAAAATTTTCTAACCATGCCAATCACGAGAGCCACTTA